CAGGATAAACGGGACGTCATCAGAGCCAGCAGCCTGCCTGGCATCACATGTTGCTTACCCTTCGGGCCAAGTAAGATGTAACACTCTGTTTTTCTGCCTTCCTTGGGTTCTCCTGAGTTGGTTGGTAGCCAGACTGGTCCCTGCTCTAAGTTATTTTATTTGTCCCTGGAGCTAGTCAAGAAGAGAGACCAGGATGATCTGTAAATAAAGCAGCATGTAATGAAAGCAGCTGAATACAGTTGTGCAGGTTGTATACTGCTCAACTCTAGGAAACCTCACTTCACATCATGATCTACATGACTGATGCTGCCCCGGGGTTGGTCAGTGCACAAGTTGAAGAGGCCTGACTTACAGAGTCCCAGCTAACGGAGGCCACAGGCTGGCGACATTGGCTGCTTCCAGTCCTCACGTGTTTTGAAAAGCCAGGATGGTGTTTTCAAAATTTGTTTTTAAAAGTGAGGCTCTCTGGCCTGTCTCCAGCGTTGCACATTCCGCCGCGCCTGCATGGCAGCTGGAGGGAGGGCTCTGCCCCGCAGGCGAGGCCGGAGCTCCCAGCCTGACTTGGTCCTTTCTAGTGGTGACAGACCACAGGCAGGGCCTCGTAGTGTCCAGTAACTGAACCATCTTCTGAGAGCCGTTCACCCCTCACCCCTCCTGCCTGGCGGTGGGTCCCGGCACCCCCAGGCCACACCCCCCAGGCCTCCCCCACTCCAGGCTCCTTCCCCTGGGGCTCTTGGAGATACCTCTTTCTCGTGGGGACAGACTCCTGCCCATGTGTATCGTCTGTCCTACAGTGTTCCCCACAGGGTGCGCCTTTGACAGCCGGGACGTGTGCGTGCAGTCCCTTGCGTCCCTCGCTGATGACGTGACATCAGAAACCGTTTTCCGTGCAGTGACTGGCCTTCCTTCTAAATTTAGCATTACCCCTAAACTGGCCACGTGCACACAGGTTCCCTCATCCTCGGGAAGCTGTGAACACACATTGCTGGCCGGAGACTCGGCTTCTCGTCCACACCCTTCCCCCCCGCCTTGTTGGAACGTGACCTCTGCCCGTCACCTTTATCCACCCTGCACTTGGGCGTCAGTTTGAGCGGGACTTCCTCGTTCACGTTCCCCCCATGGGGTGGGCAGCGTGATTCCACGAGACGGTGGAGAATCTGGACTTCAACACGTCCACCTTCCTCTCGTCATTTCGACGCATCCCGTCGTGTGTCTGTTGTATATTTTACACTGCGGTAGTCCAGGTACCAAACCGATAAATGAATATGCCCGTGTTAAGGGTGAATGCTGAAATAATTTACTGGCATGAATGCATAATAATAGTTGAGTATTTGGAACCTGCTGCTTCACATTTCGATTTTACGTACACAGGATTCAGTTTTTCCGTAATGCCACTGCATATACTGGGGATCGTCCCACAGCCATGGCACGGAGACTCAGCCAAGCACTTTCCAGTGGTAGAAAGAGGGGCCCAGTGTCACGCGATCCACACAGAACCGCTAATAACGTCGTTCACAAGCACACGGAGGTACTCGTTGGCCGAGGCAGGGCCAGGACGTGGGGACGGAGAAAAGGTCGCCCTGTGCCTGTAGCATGTGGACTCGGTGGGGAGCCTCATTGTCGTAAACTGTTCCTGGTCAACTAGCCATAGAAGCAGTGTGTGATTGTGGAATACGGCACTGTGGCCATTGCACATGGGCGTACGGGGCAGGTTGTCTTGTTTTCCACAGTTAATGAGAGGAAACAAGTAAACACGGGAGGGGAGTTTTGTTTTTGAAGCTTTGCTTTGGCCCCAAAGGGTTTTCACCGGACTTTGAACCAGTGGGGAAATACAGGTTTCTATCAGCGAATGGGGGAGGCTGCCGTTAACCAAATCCCCCAGGGTAGTGAGTGAGCCGCGTCTTGTGTCACCCAGACTAGGAGGGATTGGGTGTGGGGAGCGGGGTCACCCAGCATGCGCTGCAGACATCACCCGGCTGTTTCCGTTAGCTGTTTCCCAGCAGGTTCCTGGATGCCGTACTTGGAACACACATGCGTGCACGCACACACACGTTTATATGTGTGCGTGTGTGTGTCCACATATGTGTATGTGTAGAGTTGAGCCTTGAGCAACACGGAAGTTAGGGGTGTCGACCCCCTGCCCGGTGGAAAGTTGACAATCTGAGTATGACTTTGACTCGCCCAAACGGAACTCCTAACAGCCTTCTGTTGAGCAGAAGCCTTGCCAACAACATACACCATCGATTAGCACATTCCGTGTGTGTCCTCTGTATTGTATCCTGTGTTCTTGCAGTAGGATAGGCTAGAGAAAATCAAACGTTATTAGGAAAACCATAAAGAAGAGGAAACACATTTACGGTCGTGTGCTGTCTTTATCGAAAAAGATTCATGTGCAAGTGAGTGGATGTGTACCTGAAACCCGTGTTGTACCAGGGTTAACTGTATACATATACAGATGCGTGCACATAGTCGTGGGTGTATGTGCACTGTAGCTCAGTTGTGTTTTCAAAACACAGCACACCGTGAACCCGAGCAGGTTTTACCCGTATCGATCCATAGTACATGTGCCTACTGTGGGCGGAAGTTACGACTTTTCCCTGTCACTATGGTAGATACATTTTCAAGTATACATGGACAACAGAGTAACAGAGTGTCTTTGGAAATCAAGTGCCCTGTTTATCTCTGTGTGATGAGGCTGTCAACGTAACCTGTATTTATTGAGCCACAAGTAGGTTGTAAGACTTCCGTTAATGAATACAAGTGACTCATTTGTCATAAACCAAGGCAGGGATTAGCACTTGGTTCAAGCCCAGTGAAACCAAAGTGCACGTGTCCTAAGAATGATCTTAATGGTTCCAAAAGGCTGCTCGGAGATCACTGTGTGAAAATGATTCACCTGAGGCAGACCGTGCTCAGTATATGCCACAGCTGTGTCTTCGAGGAATGACCACCCACTTTCTTGTACGCGATCGTACTTGAAATGCACTCGCCCTCTCTCTGGAGCCAGGATCCGTTCTTCAGTTCGGAACATCTGAAACACGTCCTCGAAATGTGTCTCTTCTCCTGAAAATGTTCTGTGTCTATGAGAGGCAACTTCCCAGCGTCCTGCACTAAATTTCAGAAAGCGTGTCCCCTTAGAAATAACGCCATTCATTATAACTTCAGGTAGCTGCAGTAATTATTAGCAACAAAAGCTGGGTACTTCCTAGCTTAAATCGTCAGCCAGGTTCCTTCTTGAGCACTTAAAAAGGATTCATGGGAGAAACATTGTCAGAGCTCCACATGACCTACTTGTGAATAAAATGTAAGAAAAATGTGAGCCTGTCCTGTATCAGAAAAGTCTTATGCCCTGATGTGTCCTATAGAATGAAAAGATCACCAAATCCAGGATGATGACCTATTTATTTAAAGCAAATTTGATTCAATAAAATTCCAGTGCACAATAATGGGACGGCCCTTAGAATTCATCTCCGTATAATAGCAGCTGTCCACAGTGAATTGAACTTTTTTTTTTTTGCCACCACCTCCCGGTTGCCTGCTATTTAATTGAGTTCCCGCAAGGCAGAAATCATAGCTTTATTCACCTGCCGATCTCACTGGAGTATCTGGAAAACGAGACGGCTTCCTGGCCTACCGCATGCCCTTCCCGGTTTATAGATGACTGCATTCCAAGTGTTGGCTTGTACCATGATTATTTAAAACAGAAAGCATGCTATTTTTTTTTTTTTTTCA